CAGGCTTAAAGCTAAGTGACACACTACGGAAGACGGAGGATCTAGAAGGATGGAAGGAACTGGTTGCTAGGTCATCTACGGTGCCCCAAACGGTCAACTTGACTATGGGATGATGGTGATGATGAAATCGAATAAGTAGCAATCGTATATAATTTGTTTTTTTATGTGACACTCACATCCCAGCAGGAGCTCTTTAAAATAATTTTTACTGTTATCTATTTAAAAAAATATTTTATCAATTTTTTCCATAATGTACTGTACTTGGACATTCAAAAACATGTTTCTCATCTTCTATGGCATCACAATTATTACAATTCGATTCAATAATTTATAATTTAATTGTGCATATATTTTTTTTTTCATTTTTTACTGTGTCTCCAAACCTCGGTCCATTGTATTTTATCAACGAATACACCCTCCCATTTAAGTATGCTCTGAGGTGGACTATGACTAAATTTAAATAAATGTTTTTCGTATTCATCTTTGCTATTTTGTCGATTGCAGTACACTCTGTTCTCACATGCTCGTTAGCTTTATTGTATTGCTTGATTGTGTTTATCCCAGTGGTGGCGCCAGAGGGGGGTCATATTATAGCTGTCTCTTATACACATCTAGATGTGTATAAGAGACAGGAGTAGAGCTGGATTCATTTAACAACGGTTGTACGACCTTAAAAAAGTGCCCAGCTTAAAATAATACGTCAAGTCACCACCTGGTATAAGAGTTACCCTTAATTATTCATACCAAATAAATCCAATACTGTACAATCTACAGCAGGCAGCAATGGCTTACTTAACAAAAAGATCTTTCTAAAAGTACTTACTGCGCTGTAAAATAATATTGCTTTAGTACTATGACAACAATAGTTCAGTGATTTTCAAGTTTTACAGATTTATAGTACACCTTGTATTTATGTAACAATGTCAGTATTACTGTATGCAATGCTTCCCAACTTGCAATGCTCCCTACTGTCTCAAGTACGGTAAATACTATTAACTACAGTTTGCTTTTACCCCTATTCACAAAAAGCACTGAAGCAAAAACAAATTTGTATTTATAACATACAAAAATATAGCCTTAGGCACCTTGACTACAGGTTCCCAATTTGGTAATAATACTGTAAGCACAATCTCTTTTAACACATAAGATTTTGTTATGTTTGAGTATGTTCCCCGTCCCCCACCGATCAACGCCCACGGTTGAAGGTACTGTACTTTGCTAAAAGAGTAGTTAAGAGCAGTTGGTGACTTCCTTCTAATTTAGAATCATGTACTGCGGTTCACTTCCCTTCACAACAAATTATTCTCATGGTGTGTATATTTAAGCTATAAAAGACCTTGTTAAATGTTATCAAAGAGTATAAATAGAACAAGAGAGCCAACAACGCTCATTGGGAGCTGTCTCTTATACACATCTAGATGTGGATAAGAGACAGTATAATTACAATACCAATGTTCATTAATGCACAACACCTTAGAAGTAGCATGGTACTGCTGGAGAAACACGATGTCCAAGTCTGTTTATTTATCCAAGATTTTTGTTTTGGTGGACATTTTGAAAAGTGACAGCCATTTTAATGAAAGTATTCTTGAAATAGGCAGCTGAATTTGGCATAGAATCATTCCTAGAGATCTGAAAACATGCAAAAATACTTACAACACATGATATTATTACTTATTTTTTTAAAAATGTTTAACATTTAACTGTTTAATGTGAAATCTGAGGAAACTGGCAGCCATTTTGAATATACAATTAGCAAAGTTCGGTGATGCATATCATGCGTAACTCCATCCTCATTCCGTTATCAAGTGATGGTTTTATAGATTTTTCATTCTTTGGGGTCCAAGCCTCAATATATTATGATATATTGCACTATACAATAAGCTACAATAATTACTATACATTAATGCCTATACCCTATATTTACAAACAACAGTCACAGATTTTGTATTGGAAAAGTGTCCTCATTTTGGTCGAAGTGAATAATGTTCAAAAATCCGTAACTCCGCTTTGGCTTATCCCATAGGAATGGTTGACCCCTCATTATAATCCTATTTTTATGTACAATCCATTGGTATTACCTCTAAAATGAAATATTTAACTTTAAAATTGCATGATTCTACCTAATAAAACTGTTTGCCATAATTCTGCCATAGGCTCTAGTTCCAATAGGCTCATTCCCACAGCCGTTGAAATTTTTTATTTGACCCGATGTCAAAGGTTATATTTTATTTGTAATTGCGCCGAATGTAAATACGCCGAATGTAAATGCGCCGAATGGTAAAAGGGCCGAATGTAAATGCGCCGAATGTTAAAAGGGCCGAATGAAAATGCGCCGAATGGTAAAAGAGCCGAACGTAATGGTAAAAGGGCCGAATGAAAATGCGCCGAATGGTGAAAGAGCCGAACGTAATGGCAAAAGGGCTGAATGTAAATGCGCCGAATGGTAAAAGAGCCGAACGTAATGGTAAAAGGGCCAAATGTAAATGTGCCGAATGGTAAAAGAGTCGAACGTAATGGTAAAAGGGCCGAATGTAAATGCGCCGAATGGTAAGCTGTTACCGAAGGCAGGGATGGCGTTCCATACATCATAAGATTAGCATTTTGTAGCTAGAAGAGGACATGCTCATATCTATGGTCAATTGACATAAACCTATGTTGTGTTTATGTCGATTGACCTTAATATAAGCAATCACAGTTCTACCAGTGGCAGATCCAAGGGGGCCCAGTCGGCCCAGGGTCCTCCCAAAATTTGTTAAAATATTTAAAAAATTGAGTAAAAATGAAAATTCAGTCCGGCCATAATCATTATTTTTCTTACCTCAGCCCCAACCATGGTGGGCCTAAGTTATAGACCCTCTATGTGTAAAAGTCCTTTTCTGGTCCCTCTCTATTTCAAAATCCTGGATCACAATTCCTTGCCACTGACTATGATTGGCTTATTCAGAGTTTACTACCAATGCTTGTTTATGAAAAATAAAACAAAACGCTACTTGCCCCGTTCCCGAACATTGGCTGTGGAAATTTCCAATTGTGAATCAGCATCCTGAACCAAAAAAAAAAAAAAATTACAATCTATGAAGTCTGTATTAATAGACACCTTGGGTATTGTTGCTATGGTCCCACTGGGTATTGTTGCTATGGTCCCACAAAATTACATTTCACCAATAGTGCGTAGGCGTACACAACACTGCTTATCTCAGCTGAGACACGTGACACCCGAGACTGTGGCAAATCTCTAGAACCCTCTTTTAATTAAACTAACTATACAATTCTAATCATACCCTGGAAAACCTAGACTTTCTGCGTATCTTCTAAGGCCTCTTTGTGGCTGTTCCAGGATCACGCCTCCTAGGTCAAATATGACTGCTTTCACTGTTGGTGTCGATGGCTTCATGTTTGAGCACGATGCGGCTGACAAAAGATCGCAGGACCTCGACAACAAGCACCGATTTCTGGCTAAGTTTGACAGGGCTTTCCAGTAAACAAAAGACGTTGAATGTAATAGACCAAACATTTGCCTGTACTACATTAATATAGCATTAAATATCAATGCCATAAAGACATTTCACGAACAAAACGTCAGCCAAAGGAAACGTGTAAGCTAGTGAAATCCAGGGATCTAATTGGTCGCAAGGCCCGCCTTCTTGTTTACATGTCACGGGTGATTGAGCATCGTACTAAAATAGAGGGCGCTATGTGAACTTCCGACGCAGAGCCGTAACCGACGCAGAGCCATATATATAAAGAGTTGCGACATTCCGCTCCTTGGTTTACGAAAGTCACGTGGTACACACCGTCCATTTTGTTTCATAATCTTCCCGATGAACACATGCAAAGTATATGTGTTACGTAACATTGCATATTAATTTCACACACTTAATTGGGTTTACAATTATATTTTATAATTAACATCACTTAGTATGGACAGCGTATAAGAATTCATATGTAATCGAATATTTGCGCGCGTGCGTACTCGCGTAAATCCCGTGCTCGCGTAAATGATTGAAATTATCAATTATCAATTATCAGTTTTCAATTATCGTTAATTCGTCACATTTTAATCAATGAAGACCCGACCTATTTTATTTAATGGTAATCTTTTCTTTGGTTTTAATTGTTTTTAATAGTTATATATTAAATATGTTTTAATAGTTAATATATTAAATATATATATATATATATATATATATTTCTTAATTATATAAAATTTCTTCCTTAATTATATAAATTTAAATCATTTATCAGTTGCATTATTACACTGTTTACGTTCATCATTAAAATTTTATTTTTATTTTCTCATTCGCCTAGATGCGTTCGGAAAAATATTTAAGCTAAATAAGAAGAAAAATTTATTTTTTTCCGACCTCTTCTGACGATCTTTAAAGGTTGTTCGCTAAACAATATTAGAAAATGGTTCTTAATTTCAAATCTTTGTACAGCCTGTATAAATACGAATGACAATGAAAATAAAGGTAATGTTTACTAATCTTTAAAATGATTTGCTGTTTCTATTGCATACTATTATATAATTATTATAACTTTATTTTGGAAACGACGCTTTTAAAACAGCGGACACGCTCGTGCAGTTTGTTTATAAAAGTACTGTACAGCCATAATACAATATTAAAATAGAGGCGAGACTTTTAATAAAATAAAATGTACGATAATTACACAAGTTGAATATATCACAGATCCTGTATATCATTTAACACTTACAATTTATAACATTTACAGCAAAGCACAGTTTATATATTGCGGCCAACTGACCTATACTATTTTAATATTTATAAATAATAATAATTAAATTAATAACTTAAGATTTGTATAGGCTCGCTCATATTCAAATTTAAAGAGCAAAATTGTATATACCCTAAACGGATTTAAATTACATTTTGATATACATATTTAATTAATTTTTGCTGGTCGTCACATATCAGTTATTTGCAAAAATAATAGGAGCTACTAAAGGATTGCTTAATTAAAGAATGCTTGCCATCGAGGGGCTCTCTCGGTCTATCGGCGAGGATTAAAGAACTGCTTAAAAATAGTAAATTATTACAGTATTATTATATAATATGAAATTGGATATAAAGTAGTGAAATCATTAAAAAAAATCTATAAATAGTTACATGAAATTCGACTGCTAAAAAGATTAAATGAAATTAAACTATACAAGAGGCCGCTAAATGTATTATACAATATTATACACAGGAACGCACATCATGTTAGACCAAAGATACTAGTATCTTTGTGTTAGACACAGAACGCGCATCGCGTATGAAACAAAATGGCTTCTAAATTCTCAATGTCGCAACTCTTTCTATCTATGGCTCTGTTCCGACGCAGAGCCGAAGATAGAGAGAGTTTGGCCAACTTGGCGCATGGACGCCATGTCGCTACCAAATAGCCCAGGCGCATGCGCGCGTATAGCTTTAATGTTTTGTTTTGGTGACAACATGGCCGGTGTAAGTCTTTGCGATCCACCCAATCACACGCGCGTATATCGAATCCCGTGAAACCGAGTTGGCCAAACTCTCTCTAACTACGGCTCTGTTCCGACGGAGTCTTCAGAGCAACGTGATCACTGCTTGGGTATTTACCCAAGATCTTGGGTATTTTGACTTGGTCTTGGGTTCTTAAGTATTCCGTTCAAATCCTTGGGTATTTTATTTTTACTAAGAAAATTAAATATTTTTGTCATAGAGGAAGAATTAAGAAGTAACAAAGTATATTTCAGTCCATTCAAGTAAGCAAAACTCAACGAA